TTATTTCCCAGAGACAGAGAAACATATCCTGAGATGGGCACCGCGTGAGACCGGTATCCTGAGAAAATGCAAACAGAGGCAGAAGAATATCAAGACATGAAACAGAATCTCACCCAGTGTACCTTCAGGAGGGCAGGAAGACAGATTCGGGAACTGTCTAGATGAAGAATTCACAAATATTTTGGAAAGGATATCTAAAAGCGAACACTTTCGATTTGGTTGTTTCAAATGCAATGACTCAGCCCTACCATTCTACTGCAAAAGCAGTCTCTGAAGTTGCGTGCAGAAAGGGCATGCTTGATTCGAAGCATCTCACACATAAAATGGGAAGCACCTAGCCCATCGTCTTAGCTTGCTGACCAGGATATAGACCATAGGAGTTGTAGAAAACTGTCAAGTAAGGAGCAGCAGATCAGATGAGAGTTCAGAATGCATGATGGTGATTGCGAAGAGTTGGCTGGAGTAGGCACACCCTAAGTGTTCTGAGAACTAAATATTCGTATTACCATGTTTCATCTGTTACTGCAGGGATTGTAAACAAACAGGAGAGGATTTGTTTCAATAAAACTGTGGACACAGACAGGCTTCTAAATTTGAACCACAGGGCATAATTTACTGAACCTACTGCTCTAGGATTTCGAGTCAGAGAGTCTAATAAACCAAATCTGCTACAATCCTTCTTTAAACACCTGTCACCCCTGTTGAAGACCCATTTATAGCAGATGAAGAGTCGCCGATTATATCAACATTGGGGAGTGAGGGTAGGGAAGGAGTTCATGCATTAGTCATTCAACTGCTCACACAGATCATAAAGTTATCAACTTTATCCTCCAGGAGCAGACGACTTGGTAGCACTGCACATATAAGCTGGATTTGTGAAGAGTCTGCAAACTGGCAGCCCAGGTATGCCCACCCATTCTACCGGCCCAGCTAAACTACTGATAACACTACAGGTTTGGCATCACCATTACCTGGTGACACATCCACACTGGCACTGAAGGACTCCAGGAGAAGTGTGCTTCATCAGACTGACTCTCTGAATTCCCAAGGGTGGTCCTGGGCCATCTCATCTTCCTTAATTTGGACGTTACTGACCAGAATGAGGAATCGGGGATAAATTTTCTTTTAATTTTTAGGAGCACAGGGAGTCTGAGCCACACCTCTATGGTGCTCAGAGGCTACATTTAGCTCACTCTGTGCTTAGGAGTGACCCCTGGCAATGCTCTACAGACCATATTTGGTGTTATATAAGGCTAAAACCAGGGTTGCCCACATTGTAAAGCAAGCATCTCTCCAGTTACTTGTCCCATTTTAGATAACATAAAACAGTTATCTAATCTACTCTTCTTGTGAATTTTCATGAGATAAAGTGGGTAGATATGATTTGCTATTTCTAATGCAGCATTTCTTCAAGGAAAGAGGGAAAAAGTTGCCCCCCACCCCTCATATCTGGAAGTAGATGGTCACAACTAGGGGACTGCTACTGGCATCCAGTTAATAGAGACACCAGGGACTCTGCTAACCATCCTGCAATGTCTGAGCTGAACTGCACAATAAACAATGATCCACTTCAAAATGCCAGTGGTGCCAAGTGAGAACCCCTAGGTTAGCAGGTCTTCCTGAAGAAGAATCGATGGCTCAAGCACGTAAGCACAGCTTCATTTCAGAAACTCCACTACCCAGACCACATTGATTGATATGCTGAGTTGATTAGATGAGAGAGAAACATAACAGTGTGAGTTAAACTTGCTGATGGGAGCTATTTGGTTGGCTTGTTGTTGCTGAGAAAAGAGAATTACTTTAGCAAGGTTCATCTATAGAGAAGTTGGAAAAAATAATGTGTGTCATTTCTTTGAGCTTGAATATCCAGAGATTATAAGCATTTCAGGGGCTTGAAATGCTAACAGGCTACTCTAGGATTTGGAGTGACTTCGTAAAAACAGTCTCTGAGAGATCATAAAGCTGAGGCAAGATCTCTGTGCTTTAGAATGTGAAAGACTCAAGGCCAGAGAAATAGTACAGCAAGCAGGTGCTGGCCTGGCACCCAACTTCGACCCATCTGACATGGGTTCCATTCTCAGCACCCTATAAGGTCCCCGGAGCCCTGCGAGGTGTGATCCTCAGTGTAGAGCCAGGAATAAGCCCTGAGAACCTCTGAGCATGGCCCAAAAAACCCAAATCAAAACAAAAATTAGAATATGGAGGACACTACCAGTGTTTGGCAGTGCATGGAAATCATAAGACTGAAGGCAGCATTAGAAGGAAGCTATCCCTTTCCCCACAAATGAGCTAAGTATGGAATGTGGCACACACTGAACCAGAACCATGCATCTTCCTTACTGATTCAATTTACCTGTCCACGTTGCTAACCAACACCAACGGTGACAACTAGCTTTCTATTTTTTCCCTGCTGTTTTACCTGTAATAATTAGGAGACATGACCAAAGAGCAAACTAAATGAGAAATTTTAAAATGAATCGTCTAAAATTCTCATAATTTTTCAAGGTAGTTCTTAACATTGCCTCATTTTATTAATCAAAAACAGTGGCACACTGGACACATTAAAAGGCAATGCCTGAAGATACTATACTATTCTGAGTAAATTTATTAAAAAAAAAAAAACAGTGCCACCATCCAAATAGCCACTAAAATGAGAGTTTTCACAATTTTTGCTGCGGTAAGGCTGATACACATAAAGGTGTGAAGCTATACTTCAATCACAATACTGAAGCCAATGACAAATCAGTAAAATTTGATTTCAAGACAAGTTACCACTTTCTCCTTATATAAAAAAAACACAAATGATAATTTTTTTAAAAAGCAACCAAGTGGGCTGTAGTGACAGCACAGAGGGTAGGGCGTTTGCCTTGCACGTGGCCGACCCGGATTCGATTCCCAGCATTCCATATGGTCCCCTGAGCACCGCCAGGAGTAATTCCTGAGTGGAAAGCCAGGAGTAACCCCTGAGCAATGTCAGGTGTGACGCAAAAAGCAAAAAAATAAAATAAATAAATAAAATAAAAAGTAACCAAGTATCAGGTGCAAGACCAATAGTACAGCATGTAGGGCATTTGCCTTGCATGTGGCCAACTGGGCTCAAACCCCAGCATCTTATACGGTCCCCCAAGCCTCAGCATCTCACCAGGAGTAATTCCTGAGCACAGAGACAGGAGTAATGCCTGAGCACATTGGGTGTTTCCCAAAAGAAAAAGTAACCAAACATCTTGAATCATTTTCATCTGGAAGAAATGCATGTACATTAAGTATGATTTACTGTGTCTGATCTCAAGCTTCAAACTTCGAATGCACAAGTTCAGGAATCACCATTTGAGCCTCAGATACTTCTGGGAATCATACTTGATTGATCGGGTCATAAAGAAGAACATGTTTGTTCATCTCATTTAACCCCATTCTCTATCTCGTTTGCATTATAGGTCTCAAATATTGAGGTCACTAAAGCTTCTGATCTGTCATTGAATGGTAACAAAAACTTGATCTGGGTGACCTGACACTGATATTTAGACTACACTGATATTTAGACTGAATTGTCTGAAACACAGTGTGTTGTAGATTTCATTTGCAATGTTTTGTTTTGTAGCTTGCATATATTTGTAAGTATCACGTGCACATATAATGCATAAGTATTCTTGTGGGTATACACAAAATATCAGGACAACACACATTTACGTGTGTACAGGGTGGGTAAATACTAGATTAGTCCACTGAAGGAGATTTACATGTGATTCTCTTTATCCTTCATGTTATCTGTTATTCCATGTGAGAAATCATCTCTCGAATAAAAACCCCAATGTTGGGATAGTCCCCTGGGTTAAAAAACTTAGGTCTTTAAGAAAATAATTTGGTCAAACAAAAATGCAATCAGAAATGAAGAAAATAAAACAGTTTGATAAGAAATTGTCACAACTTTACACTGTCCTTTTAAAGGCTCCTGCTGCTTGACTATCTGAAATACCCCAGCTTCTGCTCTTCATAAACCTACAGAAATTTGATGCATTAATTGAATGTCCTTAATATTTCTCTCAAGTTAAACAATGAGTTCTGTATTGGGAGCCAGACTCAGGGAGAAATTGATTTATTACTTATTATTCTACAGAATAATAAATAAATTTATTTATTATTCTACGGAATAAGTGGGCAGCCTGTGAACTCACTTGGGGGTGCCAGCAGACCCTAAAGCTTGTGTGTTTGTTTTTCTCCTTTTGTGTCTCATTCTCTGTGGCCAACACCCACTAGATAGAGGTTGAAAAAGCCCATCCAAATGGCTTTATTAGTAACGATATTTGCCAAAAGAAAGGTAAACAATATTTCGTACACATATTCCTTTTACTCCACTTAGTTTCAAAAAATGATTTCAGGCAACCAACAGAAAACAAACACACCAAAGAAGTTTCCTTTCATTAGAAACAAGGACAAGGAAGAAGAGTAGTCAATACCGAAGAAGTTGAAGTTTCAAGCATTTAGCCAGCATGTGAATTATGATGTCCTGCAGAGGTAGATAATAGTGGCCAGAGGAAGTCATGCATTAGGCTCAGAGTTTCCCGGCATCTGAAGAACATTCTTCTGAATCCTCCTTACCTCACTCCCACCAGTCCTAATTAAGCTTTGTTTAAGAAAAGCTAATGAGAATATTTTTTTTAACGTTCCCTGATCACACTCCCAGATGAGATCATGTAGTTCAAAAGCATGTTGGAGGAGGAGCTCACTGCAAAAACAGCCAATAAAGCACTAGTGACTGTCCCCGAGCCCCTGAAGTTACATGTCCATGTGGACACAGCTCAAAGATTCCCAATGGGTATCGCCTCACCTTTCTAGAAGTCTCCCTCTATGTGGGAGATACAGCATGTAAAGGAGGTAATGAGGAAATATATTCAGTGCATATTCAGTACATATTGAAGCTCTGTGCCTCAAAGCCTCTGGGTCCTTTGGAGGCAAAGCCAGGCTCCAGAGAGAGAGAGAGCGCGCGCCAGGAGAGCACTTACCATAAGCTGTCATGACACCAGCATATGGTCCGTCCACCACATTCCTGTTCTCTTCGGCCAGCGCCTTGATGTACCTCTTGCTGAGGTCGAGGATCTGCTCTCGCAGCATGGAGCTGCTTTCTGGCTGAGTTCGCTGCTGGATGGTAAAATGCAGGAGCATCATACCCCAGATAAAGCCAAAAGTCACGAGGAAAAAGCCCAGCTTCTGAGAGGACAGCTTCCATGGAGTAAAAAGAGCCATAGCTCTCCAGCAACTTCACCTGCCCTTGGCTCTCAGAGTGCAGAAGGGAGACACAAACTCATGGTGCACGCCGGGGCTGTGGGTGTGTCGGCCTCACTCCGGCTCCTGCTTCAGCCAGTTTCCTCTCCTCACTTCCATTCTGCTGTGAAAAAAAAAAAAAGAAAGAAAAAGAAAAAAGAAAAGTTAGCAGAGAGGGGTGATGACCAGACCCAGTGAAAGAAACCCGAAGCCACGTGGGCACTCAGAGACCTCTAAAGCGTACACTTCCTCTTCTCTTGGTTGGCTGGTTCAAGGTCTTCTGTTCTTACCGAGGAATGGTAAGCTGAGAGGGGGAAATCAGACTTGGTGACACGAAACTGTACAAACATAACGTGGGGAATGTGTGTCTGGGTGTGTTAACAGGTGTCGATTTGCCGTTCCAGTCTCGTCCAACTTTCAAACAGGAAGCTTGTTTTGCAAGGTGGGCAGGGGGAAGGATATTTCACCGAACGTCAGCAAACACCCAAAGGCGGGGTGGAGTTATGTCAGCATTGGGCACTTGGAGCATTGGTAACTGGAGCTTACAAAGTCATTATTATGTGCTCTGGCAGGGATTAGAGAACATTGCTGAAGGGGGGAGCAAGAAAGCTGATGCCTCCTCCTTGAGGCAATCTCAGGAACAAGGGCGAGAATGCTGACATCTGAGGCAGGTAGGAACAGCAATTATTAGCAGCACTGAGGGATGAGTGCCAGCCCTAGGGGCTGCCTGGCTTTCTCTCCTGGGGCCATCATCCCAGAGAGGCTATGCCAGAGGTAGCCAGGTTTCCCCTCCAGCTGTCCTGGGTGAATCGGGCACCAGACTACTCATTTATACTCAGGAAAATGTGGAGTTCAAGACAGCCTATTCCACCATGGTTCTCTCACTTGCATGAGACAGAAAGGGAGCATTCAAGTCACAGCTTCAGTAGCAAAGTGGCCAGATGTGATCTGATAACAGTGAAGGCTGGGTCGAGGTCTTCCATCAAGGCTGTGAACGGCTTGCAAATAAGGCCAAGATTATCTACCTCTCCACTCAGAGTGTTGGGTCCCCAAACCAACAAGCTTGCAAATAGCACTACTTTCCAAGTATGCCATTGGGAAAGGCTGAGTGATGGTCTCCCTCCCAGGGTGTATTGTGAGTGTGTAAGTTGCAGGTCAGAGGATTCATCTTTCTAGACAGCAATGGAGCCTTTTGGGAATGATGTGCCTCCCTGTCTTTTCCTCACCTGCCAACAGTCAACAGTAGTTGGTAAGACAACAACTACTACTAAGAGTAAAGGAAAAATACGTTCTGTCTATGTCCTAAGCATTGTGATAGGTGCTTCGGCTGCTTTTACTACTTATGTTTTTATCAGTAGAATTAGCGCTAAGATCTCTGTCTTACAAAGGAATAAATAAGATATCAGGAAATTCACTTGTTCATGTTCAATGGGAAAGGAAAAGAAACAAAAGCTTGTCTGGGGGGGGGGGGGCTGGAGCGATAGCACAGGGGGGTAGGGCATTTGCCTTGTACCACGCAACCGATCTGGGTTCGATTCCCAGCACCCATACGGTCCCCCCGAGCACTGCCAGGAGTAACTCCTGAGTGCAAAGGCAGGAGTAACCCCTGTGCATCACTGGTGTGACCCAAGAAACGCAAAAAAAAAAAACCTTGTCTGTGAGTAAGCCATCTCTCCTCCTACTTCCTCCCCTACCAGCCCGAGTAGCCAAGTAGGGGTGGTGTGTGCAAAAGGGTTGGGAAAAGTCACTAAGGAAACTATCTGGAGAGGCCCTCTGAGGCTCAAAATATCAATAAATCATGTACTACCCGACTCTTCAGAGAGGAAGCTTATCAGCTGAAAGTTGCTCCTGTTCCTTCTCGGCCAGTGGGTCTCAAAGGAAGAGCACTGACTCATCAACAGCAGAAGAAAGTCATGCAAATGCTTCAACCCAGGGTGGAAGAATCCTACACTTCAACAAGCAGACCATTTCATGCCCTGGTCCCCTGCGGCCACAACGGGGACCCCAGCTCACAGCATGAATTGCAGAAGTTCCTCGGATGCGATGGGCCCAACTCCCACACTTTCTGGCCTGCGCACCACGACCCACACTCCTTTGCGGCCTGCATGTTCCTCTCCTTGTCTGTCGATCAGCCAAACCTCATTCAAACCTCACCCATTTTCCCAGTCCTCGCTGGTCCCACTGTTCTTCCCCAGCCTGCGATTTGGAAAATTTAGAGTACTGCCAGTTTCTCTGTGGGCCCCCACTGCATCCCTTCAAGAAATACCCAGCATCCTATTTCAGACAAAGTCACTAACCCAGGGCCCAGTTAATCACTGGCTAAGCAGATTGGTCACCTGGGAATGATGGTGCTTTCTTCAGCCTTTCTCTCTGCTGGCCCCCTGAACAGCAAGCACCTGCCTACCTGCCTTCCACCATTCATCTACATGCCGAGATGGGGGCTGACACTGAACAGACTGAGTGCCCCTTCCAGAAGCCAGGGCTCTCGAAACCATCATTCTAGCTGGGTACTGCCCCAGTTAGTGAGGAAGTGGCAGCATTTCCTTCCCTTCACCCCCATTTAGTCAGCGCACCCCAGGACAGAAGGGATTTTTCTGGGACAAGTGACTTAGAGTCACACCAAGAAAAGCCATTTTCTGGTGATCTTCTCTTACCATTTTAGGAAAGAACCACCAGTACATACGATTTCAGACAAAAGCAGACTCTACTTCCTCATTAAGCTCCTGAAGAAGCTTCTCAAGATTACAGAGTTAAAGGGTCAAGAATTAAAGAGTTGGGTTGGTGGGAATGCCGACTGGTCCAGCCCTTCTGGAAAACAGTATGGATGATTCTCAAAAAACTAGAAATTGAGCTCCCATTTGACCCAGCAATACCACTCCTGGGAATATATCCCAGAGAGGCAAAAAAGTATAGCCGAAGTGACATCTGCAATTGTCTGTTTATTGCAGCACTCTTTACAATAGCCAGAATCTGGAAAAAACCTGAGTGCCCGAGAACAGATGACCGGTTGAAAAAACTCTGGCACATTTACACAATGGAGTACTATGTAGCTGTTAGAAAAGACGAAGTCATGAAGTTTACATACAAGTGGTACTACATGGAAAGTATCATGTTAAGCGAAATGACTCAGAAAGAAAGGGATAGACATAGAAAGATTGCATTCATCTGGGGAACATAAAGTAACAAAATAGGAAACTAACACCCAAGTATGGCAGAGATTAGTACCAGGAATTTTACTCAATGACCCGGAGGACAACCACACATGTTAGGAGAAGGGGGAGCTCAGAAAGAGAAGGGAACACCAAATAAAGGGTGTTGGGAGGATCCGCCCATGATGGGAGAGCATGATGAGGGTAGACTGTCGACCAAGCATGGTTGCCCCTCAATGCCTCTTTTGCCGACCATGGCACCCAAAAGGAGAGAGAGGGAAATGCCCTGCCACAGAGGCAGGGTGGGATAGGGACTGGGTGGGGAGAGGATGCTGGGATCCGAGGTGGTGGGAAATGCACACTGGTGGAGGGATGGGTGTTTGATCATTGTATAATCGAAACCCAAGCACAAAAATGTGTAAGTCTACAACTGTACCTCATGGTGCCTCACTATTAAAAAATAAATAAATATTAAAAAAAAAGAATTAAAGAGTTGGGGCTGGAGCGATAGCACAGCGGGTAGGGCATTTGCCTTGCACGCGGCCCACCCAGGTTCGATTCCCAGCATCCCATATGGTCCCTGAGTATCGTCAGGAGTAATTCCTGAGTACAGAGCCAGGAGTGACCCCTGTGCATGGCCAGGTGTGACCCAAAAAGAAAAAAAAAAAGAATTAAAGAGTTTCAGTGGGAGAAAAAAAGGCAAACCTCTTACCCTTTACTTAAGGGTCAGGTGAGGGATTTCAATTTCCTAGTATTATATGCGAAGAATACCAAAAAAAAAAAAACCCACAAAACAACAAACAAATAAAAAAGCCCCAGAGTCAACTCAAGAAACTCAACAAAGTCTCAATTACCCAGTTCAGAGACATGCAAATTTGTAGTTAAAAAAAATTTCCCAATTCTAAGAAATTCAGAGTATGGTTCTGATTACAGAGGGCCTGGATTTCCACCCCCCACCCAGCACCTTCTTTGAATTGCAGCTGTGACAACAAGGTACAATAGTGATAACTGATGCTTTTAATAGACAAGATTATTGCACGTCCACCACTGAAGTGTCAGACCACTATCTGGTGTCACTTTTCTTCTTCTTCTCCCCGTACTGGACCCCGCTCCTACCACACAAGGGCAACCACAGTTCTGCAGGCAGCCTCAGGGCCTGTCAAAACACAATACTGCATTTTCTCTTGCTTTGTTTCTCTACACTCCACCATGCGTGAGATCACTTGGGGTTTGACCTTCTCCCCTTGACTTCTTTTACTTTACGTGACACGGAAAGCCCAGGTTTTAAGGGATTCTGGGACTCCCAGGAATAACCTTCTCCCCAATGATGTCTAAAGTGTGAAATGACAGCAAGTATTTCAGCATATGCTAAGCACACTTAGAAAACTAAATGAGATTTCACCTCTATGACTCCTATTAAAAAGATAAAATTTTAAGACCTTTCAAAATCATGATTGGGAAGACACACTAATCTTCCCTATTAATTGGAGGACAACAGGGATAACCAACCTCACCAGCAGGGATTGGTGTCATCATCAGAAATGGCAGTTCATTAAGAGACCACAGGCCAACAGTGACCACAAAGTTGTTGGTCAGGGTAAGAATTGGCCAGTCTGCAGGCCTTCTAAGAGCTGAGTTCTTAGGAAAGTGGAACCAATAGGATCTTAAAGGATGATAATATATACCTCAGAGGGTCTATCTACCAACCAGACTAACAGGAACTCAGAAACTTCCCTTTTTGGTTCCACCTCCAGAAAGACATCTGAACCAAGTCCACATGAACTGTGTTAACCCCCCAGGCCCATCCCTGCTATAAACCCTTCTATGAGTATGTCACCTCTATTTCTATCTTCCTCAAAGGGCATCCTTCACCTCTTTTCTTCCCATTCATGCCTCCACCAACAAAATCTAACACCCACGTTTCCCAATGTGATAAATAACTGCCGGTAAGGAAATGAATGAAATCTCTTTATTT